CATCTTGCGTGAATCAAAAGAGTGACACACGTGTTTTCTTTTTGTGTGATCTCATATTTAATTTACCCTCCAGAGTAGTAGATCAATAGTTATGTGCTGAGAAACTGCTTTTCAGTAGTGTTGTAGAGTATGAAAAAACACGAGAAATCAATTTCTTTTTCCTGTCTCAGGAGACTCAGTGCCTTTTGTATTGCTCATGGCAACAGTAATCTCAACTTTTTATCTTTGTTCTCTAAACTCTGAATGTTGGAAGTAAATAGTAACATGTTCAGAATGATTGAAACTGCTTTACTTGTCATCGTTACCACTGTTACTGATAAATTCTGAACCTCCTATATGTGAAATTGCAGAAATGAACATTGTATGAAGCAAGTTTGGTATGAAGTCTCTGGAGGTTTAATGCTTAAAATTCCGTGTGAAAATAAAGAGCAAGTTTGTGCAAGACTTTTAAAAGTGGAGGAAATCCCCAGTATGTTAAGAGGTAAGAAAAGTAGTAAGTATCTAGTTCTGTGTTCCACCTATCTTATAGAGCTATCAAGCTCTTTGATAAGTTTTAGCTGTTCTAAGTGACCCCATACCTTGCAAGAGTTTTCATATTTTTAAAAAGATTTTATTTATTTATTCATGAGAGGCAGAGAGAGAGAGAGAGAGAGAGAGAGAGAGAGAGAGAGGCAGAGACACAGGCAGATGGAGAAGCAGGCTCCATGCAGGGAGCCTGACGTGGGACTCGATCCCGGGACTCCAGGATTATGCCCTGGGCGGAGGGCAGGCGCTAAACTGCTGAGCCCCCAGGGATCCCTGAGTTTTCATATTTTAAGTTGAGTCATTGACAGTGTCTTATTTTATCGTCACACTTTTTCTAGTCACCTGACAGGATTATAAAAGTTGATATTTTTCATCATTGTATTTTCGGCTGCTCTTAATTTTGCTACTGTCAAATACTTTTCTAAGCAAACATTGGGATATCGGAAAATTGAAGTTATAATTACAGACTACTTAGAAAATAAGTATGAGTTCACTGTACATCTATATTTTTTATGTCATGTGGCCAGAACAATACTCCAAGGAAAAATCATAGCCATAAATATTTTCATTATTAACTGAGAAAGACTAAATATACATAAGCCTATTTGTCAACCCAGGAGTTATAAGAAGAACAAGAAAACCAGCATAATGACAACAGGAATAAGGATTTATTTTTTTTTTGGAATAAGGATTTAATAAATAAAAATAAGATTGATGACTCAGAAAGTAGAAAAAAAAGACTTGAAAATTAAGTTCTAGATCTTATTCTTTGGTTAAGCAACGAAACTAGACAAACCTCTGGCAAGAATAATGGAAAATGAGAAAAAATTAATATGAATACTAGAAAATACAAAGGGAATATAGCAATGAATGTAGATACTTGATGGGAAATACTGTATAAAGTCCATGAGAATGCTGGAAAATCTTGATGAAATAATGATTTTCTTGGAAATTGTGAACAGTCAGAATGGACTCGGAAACATAGAACCTGCAGTAAATGACAATATAAGAAATAGCAGTTTTGAAAGAACTTTTCCCCCCAAATATGTATGATCTAGATTCTTCAACTCTCCATTTCTTCTGCAATTGTCTTCTACATTTTAAAGTATTTGCAAACATAGACGATGTTAGAAATCTTTGTATACCATTTTCAAGATGGTAATGTAAAGGCCAGGAAAAAAAATGAACTTCAAGAATCAGCACTTGAAAAGGAACCTAAATGATATTCTTCTATAAAAATAGGTTTAAAAACCTAAGGAAAGACAGCAGTTAAGGCCAGGGGCGTGTTAAAAATTATCAAACTGAGCTTATCTAAGGGTTGGATCAATGTAAAGGAATTTATTAGTAAAATGCACCAAATCATAAGATCTCTAGGATCATATTGATAGACACTGAAAGAGCAATTGATAAAATTCAACATGAATTCTTGATAAAAAGGATTTTTATAAACTAGAGATAATAGGAGACTTTCTATCTCACAACACATGAAGTTTAAAGTGACCCACCAGATCATGTGGAAGAACAGCAGTCCCATTAGAGTAAGGAAAACAAAGGTCTGTGTTATTCTGCCATTACTATGCTGACAGTGCTGCTACAATGAGACAAAACAACAGCATCGCACAAGAACGGGCAAGAAGATCCAAGGCTGAGGCAGGTGTGTTTCAGCTCTCAGGATGTATTACCACTGGTCATTCATACCGGTGGTATTACGGATATTTTGTATTTTTTCTCTTTTGGCTTCTCTGTGTTTCCTGTACAGAACTTCTATTGCTCTTTCTTCCTGTCTTTTTTTTTCTCTGTCATTTTTCAAATAAGACAACAAACATCAATAAAGTATAGACTAGAGGAAGTAAAGGATAGCGTAGGGAATGTAGTCAATAAAATGGTAATAACTGTGTGGTGACAGATGGCAACTACACTTATTGTGGTGAGCATTTGTAATGTATATAAATGTATATAAATGTAACATTCTTTGATACAACTGAAATTCATATAATATCATATGTCCATTATATTTTAGTTAGGACAAATTTAAAAAATCCTATTAAGCACTAATAGATTGGCACATATAAATTGTTTAATGGTTAATTGTATTTTGAAAAGAGAGAGAAATCATAATCAAAAGGAAAGAGACTTCCTTTGCTTGTCAAAGAATGGCTTAACTATAATTCAGCATTTTACTGTCTTCAATCCTAGTCACATAACTGATTAAGAGCACGAAAAATGTTTGATACTTTTATGAAGTTTAAGGCTAGAAGGAGGCTGAATTACATTTGTTTCTAACATAGCTTTGTTCCCTGATGCAAATAATTAGCTTTGTTATAATTTCCAACTACTGGCTTTTGCTTCCCATGAGGACTTTATCTAGTCTAACATTTCCCAAAATAACTTCATCTAGTCTGACTTCGTTTTCAGGGGTAAGTTATGTGAGCTCTCCCTTCTGGGAAATTCCCATTTCACCTGATAGTGAAATTGCTAGAATGATGGGCCTAAGTTTTGGCCACCTCTCCCTCTAATCCAACTTTTCCTGACCCTGTACCCTTGCCACCAAGATGAGGGAGAGGAGAGAAGCTTCCTCAGGTGGACTTCCCAAACAGAAATGGGTCCTCTCTGCTAAAATATCACCCTATCTAGGAGGGGAAAAATGACAGGACTCTCAAAACGTTGCAGAAGTGTAGTTGTTGATCTTTTTCTCACGGCTGCTTTGAAAATCCAAGTTTTCTATTTAACATCAGGGTCACTCAGTCTCATTTTTTCTATTCTAGTTTTTAAGCAACAAGGTGGAATTTGGGGACTGAATTCAGGAAGAGGCAGTGTGGTAGAGAGGAAAGCCCTGACAGCCACCTGCCTGGGGGGTGGTGGTGGCTTCTATTGGCATCCATAGAATGCCCACTAGGGGAGACTGTCTTCTGCTCATTATGGTAATCCTCAGACCATCTTTAAGGCTTTGTTGCAATTTCAGTTTTGACCCATGATGACCAGTGAAGACCCGTGCAGTTCAGTGTGGTGGAGACAGGGTTCAAGTGACACACCTTCCCTTCCTCCCATTGCCACCAATGCCTTAAACACCAGATCCTCAGTTCCCTCATGTGTAAGATATTATAACAACAGTGACTGTGAAGGTGCCATGTTGAGGGTGAGAGAAATAATCCAGTAGATCTAGTTCATGGCAGGAATCTCTTAATGACTGTGTTCTAGCAGCACTGACTAATGTAGTTGCTAGTCACATGTTTCTGTATAAATTAAATTAATAGAACATTTCATTGCTCATCAGCACTAGCCCCCCCTTTTTTTAATAAATTAATTTTTTATTGGTGTTCAATTTACCAACATACAGAATAACACCCAGTGCTCATCCCGTCAAGTGTCCCCCTCAGTGCCCGTCACCCATTCACCCCCACCCCCCGCCCTCCTCCCCTTCCACCACCCCTAGTTCGTTTCTCAGAGTTAGGAGTCTTTATGTTCTGTCTCCCTTTCTGGTATTTCCCACACATTTCTTCTCCCTTCCCTTATATTCCCCTTCACTATTATTTATATTCCCCAAATGAATGAGAACATACACTGTTTGTCCTTCTCCGATTGACTTACTTCACTCAGCATAATACCCTCCAGTTCCATCCACGTTGAAGCAAATGGTGGGTATTTGTCATTTCTAATGGCTCAGTAATATTCCATTGTATGCATAAACCACATCTTCTTTATCCATTCATCTTTTGATGGACACCGAGGCTCCTTCCACAGTTTGACTATTGTGGATATTGCTGCTAGAAACATCGGGGTGCAGGTGTCCCGGCATTTCATTGCATCTGAATCTTTGGGGTAAATCTCTAACAGTGCATTTGCTGGGTCGTAGGCTAGCCCCCCTTTCAGGTGGTCAATAGCTACCTATGTCTGGTGGCTACCGTGTTGGATAGTGCAGATGTAGAACATTTCTATCATCACAGAATGCTCCATTGGACAGCACTGTTCTGTATCATGAACTTTGAATTTACACCACCACCAGAGCTTAGGGCAGACCAACAGGATTCCCTTTGAAGTGGAAGCACTCCCCGGATGTTTATCTGTGCAGGTGAGAGTCAGGTGAGGCCCTTGGAAGGGCATCCTTTGTTCACCAGAGATAGAAAGGGGTGATGTTTGTTTTCCAAATTAAGATAGCCTATCTAGGAGCCAGCTATCTTAGCTCTGAAAAGATGGAAAGTTGGAGCGAAGGGGAAACGTCTAGAGAGGGCTCTGTTCTTTCCACAGTGCCCTCAGCCCGGCAACGACAGGAGGGACGGGAGAGGATTCTGGCTTTGAGTCAGCAGAGGAAACATTCTCTGGAGGTAGAGTTCAGAAAGGACAACTAATCTGTTTTCCAAATAGATTTTCGTAAATAACTGACAGGAGATGGGCTGTTTCTATCTAAGTATTAACCCAAATAATGGGGTTTAATCATTAAACCTTCTAGGTGGTGGCTTTCTTGTTTCTCTGATATTCTAATCCGGGTCACAGAATGGCTAAGGCAGCTTTAAGTGGAGCCTGGATTTTCCCCTGCTTCCTTTGCCTTGTGTTTTGCCTTCTGAAACAATGTTGCGCCTGCTCTTTGTCCTGGTGCCTGCGATTCATGCTCAACTGTGTCAGCCAGGTAGGTAGCTGTGAAACTTAAAAATAGGGTAGCAGTTTTCTCAATGATTGACAAGCCTTTGACTGAAGGACCTCTTTATTTTTTCAAAATCTGCAGGCGTGTTGTGGCTTGAAAGTTGAGACTGACTGTTGTATGAGTTTGAAAGAAAAATTTAAACCATCTAAGGTGATTGTAGTTAAACGTTCAGTTTTGGGGGCAGTTTAACTGAAGTTCTGTGTTCTGTTGATCTGAGTCGGTTAAATGTTTGAACTTCATGTTTTGACAGATTTTTATCATCACCTGCTCTTTTTTGTCTTTCTGGCAGATGCAGAGAATGCTTTTAAAGTAAGACTTAGTATCAGAACAGCTCTGGGAGATAAAGCAGTAAGTGGTGAACCTGCATGTTCATTTTTAATTTTGTTTGTTAATAACACCACTTTCTCTAGTGATGAGCCTCTGTCCAGTTATCTTGAACTCAGAGATTAATTCTAAAAACCTCAAATCTGACACTGTCTTAAAGTAAAAAAAAAAATATAAAATGGAACTTGTTAAACAATGATTTTGCCTAAAGTCTTCAATCTGCAGTATGTGCTAGAAAATCTGTGAAGTTTTGTGTTACACAAAACAATTTGCCAAGGATGCCTGGGTGGCTGGGTGGTTGAGCATCTGCCTTTGGCTCAGGTCATTATCTCTGGATCCTGAGATCCAGTCCTGCATTGGACTCCCCACAGGGAGCCTGCTTCTCCCTCTGCCTGTATCTCTGCCTCTCTGTGTCTCTCATGAATAAATAAATAAAACCTTAAAAAAGAAAACAATCTGGTAAACTCAAACACTTCAGCTGGACATAGTGGAGCTGCAGGGCCCGAGTCGGGCACTCAGGTCTGGGCTGGGCTCTGCGCCTCACCATTGGTGTCATTTGGATCTTTTCTCAGTTTTCTAGTCAGTGAAACGATGGCACGATTTCACCCACATCAGATTTTTCATAGGACGAAAAGTTTCTAGTTCTTTTTTAAAAGATCTTATTTGTTTATTCATGAAAGACACAGAGAAAGAGGCAGAGACATAGGGAGAGAGAGAGGCAGACTCTCTGTGGGGAGCCTGATGTGGGACTTGACCCCAGGATCACAACGTGAGCCAAAGGCAGATGCTCAACTGCTGAGCCACCCAGGTGCCCCGAAAAGTTGCTAGTTTTAATGTGAAGTTTCTTCCATTTTTCTCAAAGTAACAACATGAAATATGTGCTTATGAAATTGAAGTCAAAAAAATACTCATAAGGCACATGTAGCTATAAGAACAGGATGGCCTGTCAAGTTAAGATGATTTGTGTAATCCTAGTTTTAGTATCTTCATGTGGTCTGTGAAAATTTTCCGGAATAGAAGGCGATATTAAGATGCCTCAGGGTAGAAGCAATAAGAGAGTGCTAAGAGAACTTAGAGGTACGTATTGTGTCTGCAGGCCAAATCAAAAACATATTATTTTATTCATTCAGTGACTAATGATCATTATAACAGCCAGCATTGATTGAGAACTTAGTTTACTTTCCAGCAAGGACCCTTCTGAGCACTTTACTCACGTCAATTCACGTAGCCCCCACAACAACCTTTTGAGAAAGGTAGTATGGGCATTCCCACTCTCGTCGAGTACATGAGAAAACCAAGGTACAAAGAAATTAAGCAACCTGCTCAGGATCTCAAGTCAGCAAGTGACAGAGATGAGATTTGAACCCACGCAGTCTGACTGTTGAATCTACTCTTCCTACCAGAGTGTAGTTACTTATCCCGGGATCCTCCGAGGGCAGGCATCATGCTGGATGCTGAGGATGCAACAGCAGATAAATCAGTCTTGTCCTTGCCCCCGTGGAGCTTATGGTATTGGGAGGATTGACTGTTCATTAAACATTCAATAAATGAAATGTGCAGTCTTGACCAGTATCACAGGAAGGAGAAATATGTGGGGGCTTTGGCCTTGTTGAGGGCCTTAGTACTTGGCATTTGCTATGAGGTCTAAAGCATGAGTGGAGGTGTGCTGGAGAATAAAAGAAAAAGGGACAGAGGGGACAGAACATGCAAAGGCTTAATACAGGAAGGAACTTGGTGAGAGGAGGGAATGGAAGGAAGGCTGAGGTCTCTGCAACTGGAGCAGTGAGGTAGAGCATGGCATGTGATGAGCTCGGGTAGAAAGGAGAGATTGGGTTAAAGAATATGTAACCTGTGTTAGGAAGTTTTGCTATTACTTTAAAGCAAGTGGGAGTTTTATGGAAGAGATGTTATGATAGAATTAGTGCTTAGAAAATACTCTGGTCACAGTGTGGCAGGCGGATTAGAAGGGACAAAAGTAGAAAGAAAGGGAGAAAGGAGTCATCAAGGATGACACTTTAGTTTCTAATTATGCAACTGAATGGGTGATGACCCACTTGTGAGTCAGGGAAGCAGGTATAGACAAGAAAATCATGGCTGTAATTTTGGACTTGTTGAGTGTGAGGTATTATTGAATAGGTGAGGACAGGATAGGCTTGAGATATACATTCCTGGGTCATTTGCATTACGGTGATATTGGAAGCATGGAGTAGATGGCGGTCTGAGGGAGAAAGGACAGTGACAAGAGGGGTAAATCTAGCATAGCGCTTTGCGGTTCTCTAAAACTTGAAGCCCTTATACAAGAGGATGAGCCTACAAAGGGGGCAAAGTGGCAGGAGGAAAACCAGAATGTGTATCACAAAAGTGATGTTAACTTCAAGTTAAAGGAAGTGTTCAAGAGTGTCAATGCTGCTGACAGATCAAGCAAGATGAGACTGAAAGGCACTCACTGTGTTGAGTCATGTGGAGGTCACTGGTATCTCTGTGGAGTGGTTGGACTGGAAAGCGGATGATGGAGGGAGTTAAGAATAAGTGGGAGGTGAACAGGTAAAGATGCAAGTATGACAACTCCTTTGAGGATATTGGCTGTGGAGGGCAGGAGAGAGGTGGCAGTAGGTGGAGGAAGAAGGATTGAGGAAAGTGATTTGGTTTTGGTGTTCTAATGGGAAGGCTTGAGCATGGCTAAAAGTCAAAGTCCAGTGTATAGAGGAGAGGGGAAACTGATATCATTTAGATCCTGAGAAGGGCAGAGGGAAGTGTTCCTTTTTTTTTTTTTAATATTCTACAAGTTTTTTTTAAGATTTTATTCATTTATTCATGAGAGACACACAGAGAGGGGCAGAGACACAGGCAGAGGGAGAACCAGGCTCCATGCAGGGAGCCCGATGTGGGACTCAATCCTTGGACTCTGGGATCATGCCCTGAGCCGAAAGCAGATGCTCAACCCTGAGCCATTCAGGCATCCCGGGAAGTGTTCCTAATACAGGTGGATGGAATAGCCATTGACAGGAAGAGAAATGCAACATTCAGCCTTTTGGGGGAAGATGTGGATAACATGTGCCTATAGAGGAAGTTTTTTTGTTTGGTGTCAGGAGGATGGGGGAGTTTAAATTGATGACTTGAGGAAAATTATGAGATAAGAGAATCTAGTGAGTATGAAGTGTAAGGGAAAGCACTGAGTTTGGTTGGGGAGAGGGGAGCTGAAGGAGGTTTGAAATAGTCATTGTGAACCGAGAGAGAGAGAGAGAGAGAGAGAGAGAGAGAGAGAGAGAACGAACGAGAGAACTGACAGAGACCTAAGGGGTTCCCAACCAATTTGGGAGTAGGTCATCATGAACTTAGAGTTAAACCCTGTTATGGGACTTTCTCTAGTTATACTTGATTACTCACCTAAAATATGTGCTCAGTCACATTAGTTTGCTAGTCTTGCTATCACAAAGTACCATGAAGTGAGTGGCCTAAACAATAGAAATTTATTTTCCTTTAATTCTGGAGGTTAGCAGTCCAAGATCAGGATATCAGCAGGGCTGGATCCTCTGGGGTCTGTGACGGAAAGATCTGTTTTTGTCCTCTCCCTTTGGCTTGTAGATGGCTATTTTCTCTGTGTACCTTCACATTGTCTTCCCTCTATATGTGGCTATGTCCAGATTTCCTCTTCCTGCAAGGACACCAGTCCATACTGGATTAGGGTCTACCCTAGTGACCTCATTTAAACTTAATCACCTCTGTAAAGACACTATTTCCAAATACGATTACAGTCTAAGGTACTGGGATTTAGGACTTCAACATATAAATTTTGGGGGGAGGGACACAAGTCAATCCACAATATGCACACACACTGAAGTTTCCAGCTAAGAAAATGGAAAGAAAAATTGTACCAATGTTAGCAAAGGATTGGAAGCTGAGAGAGGTAGTCAGTTTATGAGGGGAGAGAGTAAGGGAGGAAGGGAACTGACTGTAGATGTCCTGGCTACGATGTCCAAATGCCCTCTCTGTTGACTGGCTCTAATACTGCAGATTGTGAAGAAGATAATGCAAGGGAAAGTACACCAGACTTGGAATGATAGAATGGCCAAGAAAGCCTATCTTGAAATTACCGTGACGTGATTTATCTTGATCTCTAGTCTTCAGTGTATGAGAAAGAGAAAGGGGGGCGGGCAGGCACTGAATACCACCACTGTGGTCACAATTAGATTCCAGTGGGCCATTTTTTATCCTATGCCTCTTACATTTTCTATTTTACTTCTCTTTTAGTATGTCTGGGATACAAATGAGGAATATCTTTTCAAAGCAATGGTGGCTTTCTCCATGAGAAAAGTTCCCAACAGAGAAACAACAGAGTAAGTAAACAGTAAAGAATCTTAATTGGCTATTTGCAGTATTATTTGAGACCTGCATTAATTCAAAATTCTGTCTTGAAAATAATTAACCTAATTTTTAGAAAGGATCCACATTGTAACATTTAGAAAACCTTTTGTAATTTAGCTTACCTTACAGTTTATATTATGTTCCAACAATGCTGTGTTCAATAGGCACTATGATGATAAAATTTTTTAGATGTAGTCATCTGTTATAAGTTTGTTCTACATTCCTTTTATGTACATACAGTTTCTCTTGTAGACAGGTAGCTAGAATTCTGCTCTCATTGTGTTAGTTTGCTAGGGCCGCCGTAACAAAATACCACACACCGGGTGGCTTAAATAACACACACCTATTTCTCCCAGTTCTGGAGGCTGCGAGGCCAGGATCAAGGTGCCGGCAAAGTAGGTTTCATTCTGAGGCTTTTTCTCTTGCCTTGCAGACGCCACTAGAACTGGGTTCTCACAAGACCTCTTCCTTGTTGAGGGGGGTGGAAGGGTGGGAGGGACCTCTCTGGTGTCTCTTCTAATGACAATACTAATGCCACCAGGGCTCCACCCTTATGATGACATTTAACTGTAATTATCTCCTCATTGGCTGCCTCCAAATACAGTCACATGAGGGGTTAGGGCTTCAACATAGGAATTCGGGGGGAAGGGGAGCAAATCAGTCCATAGCACTCCTTTTAGAAACACATATGGATAGGTTCATCCCATTGTTGGCATCTCTCACAGCACTTTGGTGATTTTCTTAGGAGTGCTAATATAACTTTATACAGTTTTACATTTTTTCTATTCTTCCAGAGGAATCATCTCTATTTGTAATGTTTCCTTCTACCTCTATTTGTGATTCAGGTAACACGTCTGCTTTTTCTGTTTCTTCTTTCCTTCCCCTTGAGAGGAGAAATGTTGGACCTGATTGGTGAGCTGAGAGGAGAAGCTCTCTGGGTTCCCCACTCTTCAGGAGCAGGCCTGCCCTCAGACAGCAGGCATTTTTCTGTGCTACTCCCTACACGAAGTACAGAGTCAGGCCCTGTGTGGGCAGGCCACGCAACTCTATGGCTGGTTGTGCTATGTGTAGATGAGAACAGTTTCCATGGACAGGTGCCACAGCATAAAGGGTGTTAAGTATCTTGCATATTATTGTAGCATATGTGATCTGTGCCCCCAGTTCAGCTCTATCTGGGACACTATAAATGGATTTATCTCCTTTCAGGATTTTTTATTTAATTAGGAAGAAAACGTTCCTCCTGATTAATATTGTATCCTCCAACCTGGCCCTTTATTTTGGTCTCCCATCTGCTCATTCTTTTGTCTTAATTCTGTAAAGATTCAGACCCTGACAAAGAGGATCACTATTTATTGGCCTCCCTCAAACTCATACACGGGATGTGAATATAAAGAATGAAACAGAACAGTAGTATTTGGGGAAGCAAAATAAACATATGATATATGTATTTGTGTATACACGCACATATATATTTTATAATAGTTCATATGTTCACATGATTCAAAAAATTAAAAGACGGAGTATATAGTAAAACAAAATTGCGTCCAAGGTGAGCTCCATTCCTATTTTTTTCCATTCCTATTTTATAGTTTTAGAAAAAATGTATTTGTGTTTATCATATGCTATTTATTTATTTATTTATTTTTTATTGGAGTTTTATTTGCCAACACATAGCATAACACCCAGTGCTCATCCCGTCAAGTGCCCTCCTCAGTGCCCGTCACCCAGTCACCCCAACCCCACGCCCACCTCCCTTTTCACTACCCCTTGTTCATTTCCCAGAGTTAGTGTCTCTCATGTTCTGTCTCCCTCACTGATATTTCCCATTTTCTCTCCTTTCCCCTTTAAACGCTTTCACTATTTTTTATATTCCCCGAATGAATGAGACCATATAATGTTTGTGCTTCTCCGATTGACTTACTTCACTCAGCATAATACCCTCCAGGTCCATCCACATTGAAGCAAATGGTGGGTATTTGTCATTACTAATGGCTGAGTGATATTCTATTGTATACATAGACCACAGCTTCTTTATCCATTCATCTTTCGATGGGCACCGAGGCTCCTTGCATGGTTTGGCTATTGTGGACATTGCTGCTATAAACATTGGGGTGCAGGTGTCCTGCCCTTTCACTGCGTCTGTATCTTTGGGGTAAATATCCTATGCCTTTTAAACTGCATATTCTTACCACAACTATTTATTATAACATTATAACTTTTCTCAAAAAATTAGGTGATTGCTTTGCAAAAAAATTGGAAAGGAAAAAAATAATAAAAAAAGCCCCCTTGTCATCTTACAATGCAACCCCCTCCCCCAAATAGTCTCTTTAGCTTCTACTCTTCTGGTCAGCAGCCTTTACACACTGCTGTGTTTATCATACTATTTCTAACTATGGGTACCTGCATTAAACCTTGTAAGTGGTTATGTTAAATTGGATGTTCCCATTATTAGGAAAAGTTATTTTAAACATGAAATAGGGCCGGCCTCGGTGGCTCATTGGTTTATCGCTGCCTTCAGTCTGGGGTCTGAACCTGGGGACCCGGGATTAAGTCCCACATTGGGCTCCCTGCATGGGGCCTGCTTCTCCCTTTGCCTGTGTCTCTGCCTCTCTCACTCTCCCTGTGTCTCTCATGAATAAATAAATAAAATCTTTAAAAAAGTAAGCATGAAACATTTTAGATGAATTTTGAGGAATTCACTCTTGAACTTTTCTTTTTAATTGGGGTATTGTATAAGTCTATGATTATCTGATCTTGTTTACTTGCAAACATGTTTCACTTCCACAAGATATATAGAAACTTGTTGCCAAAGCCCAGTGAAAAAGTCAAAAAGTACAAAACTCCATCAGAGGTCAACAAACCTTTCTGTAAAGGCAGTACGAGGGCCAGCAATACTGCTGTCAGGAGGCTGAGTGATAAGGGCTGCCTAATGAATAAGGATGTGTTTAGGATGCAGTTCAATGACTGAGCCCCATTCTCCATGTGCTGCCATAAGGAAGCCTGCATCCTTACAAAAACAGGCTTCCCCTGTGGGAAAGGGCACCACAAAATGCAAGACAAGTTTGAAAACAACTTTGTAGAGACACTGCCTCTCTCCAGCATGAGGGAGGATGGAACACACTAGCAGCTTGGCAACTACCTCAGATTTTAACTCTTCTGCCCCAAATGGTCTTGTGGTGCCAGCGAGGGACAAAATAAACCCTGGAGATAGCTGCTATGGGATGAATGGCATTCCCTGAAAATTCATATGCTCAAGTCCTAACCCCTGGTAGCTGAGAATGTGATTGTATTTGGAGATAGGGCCCTTAAAGAGATAATTCATGTAAGATGAGGTCATATAGGTGGGCTTTCACCCAATATGAATGGTGTTCTTACAAGAAGAAGAGATGAGGACACAGATGTGCCCAGAGGAAAGCCCAGGTGTGACAGGAGAGGACAGCCATCCACAAGCCAAAGGAAGAAGCCTCAGAAGAAATCAGCCCTGACCACACCCTGATCTCAGGCTTCTGGCCTCCAGCACTGTGAGAAATTACATTTCTGTCGTTCAAGCCACAGGGTCTGTAGTGTTTGCTACAGCAGCCCTAGCAGACTAGCCCAGTGGCAAATATCCATTTCTGGGATGGCTTCAGGGATCCAGATCTGGAATATTACTGTTTATTACTTATTTTTCCTCATTACTGATTTTATGAATATTGTAGAGAATCCGAAGACACCAAGATGTACAGAATTGAACAGTAAAAAGTAACTCACTAAAGATAATCAAATTATAATATATAATATAATATAATTTATAATTATAAAGATAATCAAATTATAAAGAGAATAAAAAATAGTTTCGCTTTCATTCTGCCTTTTACCCAGTCCTTACTACAATATCTCTTACATCAAGCTTGACCTCCTCCAGTGATACAGAGCTCAGGATCTCCCGAGGATGCTTTGGCATACTTGGCAACCAATGGTTGGCATATCCTTGATCCAGGACACCCTTGACTGACTATGCAAGAGGCTGTTTTTCCTGGAGAGAGGTCCTGGCTGTGTCCACGCAGGACAGATGGGACAGCTGAACTGGTCTAGTCACCTTCACCCAAGCAGGCAGTGGGAGAGAGAGCTGGAGGGTCAGAGGGGCAGGGGCTGTGGGCCTGCAGAGGGCTGTGGCGTTTCCACTCCCTTCCCCCACAGGACAGGACCGGGTGGGCATGGGTTCCAGCGCATATGCACCATGCAGCCAGGTGGGGTGCTGACAACTGTGTCCGTTCTGATGAGCTGTGGTACCTGCCACACTAGCAATCATGCGCTTTGAGTGATACCTTCGCTCGTGTCCCTGTCTACCTCACATCAGGCAGAGAACCGCTCACAGAGAGTGGAGCTGTCTGTAGAAGAGAGACTGGCATATTATTTCCCCATCAGATGCTCCCCAACGTGCACGATGGTGAGCCCAGTGCCTGAGGGCGTAGGTACCATGAACAGAAACGGAGCCTGCCTTGTAGCTGGAGAAGTCTAAAGGTGGAAGGCTGATTCAAGCTCCAGTGACTGGGTTGAGAGAGGAGAGCTTTGCAAGCAGTCTGCCCTGCAGTGTGTTCCTGGGACCAAGTAGAGGCTGCAGGAGGGAGCTGGAGGGACCCCCTGCCTTTGGGGCTGAGAACCCACTGCAGGGAAAGGAGGAGGGGGTGACGTGAGGCTGGGAGAGCACCACTAGAGGCCTGGGAGTGGGTGGGATGGAGGGAGGTGGTGAGAGTGCATCGCCCACGTCAGGGAAGATGCAGTGTGGAGGTGCGCAGGCAGGTCCCCAGGGCCCCCACAGGTGCTCTAAATGGAGAACCTGAGGATGCCCACCACAGCAGAGGAGAGGACCCCCAACAGCAGAACAGCCAGGGCGGCGGGGGGGGGGGGCGCGGTCTGCAAAGAGCCCTGGCTAAGGATAAGGAACTTTGCTGTTTCCTTCTGTAGATGCCCACAGCCCTCTCCCCTCTTC